ACATAAATACTGATGGTAATCGGGGGTGGACTGAGGTGGTGTTCCTCGCATCCAGCAGGGATCAGGAAGAACTTCATGCTTAAGCTGCGCTCTGAAGGAAACTTGGGACTTTTATTTCATTTTACAGATGAGGAAACTGAGTGGGGTGGGGGTGGCCCTATGGGACTTGCCCAAGGTAGCCTCCATAACTGGATTTAAACCCAGGTCTTCTGATTCCATATATAGCACTCGTACTGAACTAAGATATTCAGATGAGCAACAAAATCTCCCAGGGGCCCAGAAGGAAGAATTCCGAAAGGGGCGGAGCAACTAAGATTTCATTTCTGTCTCTTTATGTTGTTATTATCTTGTTAAAATGTATTTTTCCATTTGTATAAAATGTCAATAGCATGGATTTTATGGGCATATGTGTCATTGTTCCTATATGACCTCAGGTGAGTCATGTTTCTCCTCTCTGGTGCTCTTTCCTTACACCTAAAGCGAGAGGTTAGGGTGCCTTCTAAAGGTTTGAAAACACTCCTAGTCAAAGAGTATTTAGTTGGCTCACAGAGACATTTTCTCTCAAGGGGCTGGAGTGGAGTCTCCAAATTGTACAGGAGGCTCAGACACAGTGCCAGCCACCACCTTCCCAACGCTGGAGTTTCCCACACTCAACTGTTTTAGTATAAAAAGCTTAGCACACTGCCTGACAGCATAGATGCTTAATAAATGCTTACTGAGGGGCAGCTAGGTGGCACAGTAGATAGAACTCTGGCCTTGCAGTCAGGAGGACCTGAGTTCAAGTCCAGCCTCTGACACATGACACTTACTAGCTGTGTGACCCTGGGCAAGTCACTTAACCCCGAACGCCTCACTTAAAAAAAATGCTTACTGACTATAATCTCTACAGATCATATTAACTATAACATAAGTTTTACAATCTCTTATCATATTGACTATATCATTGATTACATTAACTATAAGTTCTACCATCTCTATTGAGTGTAGTGACCATACCATAAGGAAATCTTAGCAGAAAGCAAAACTTGGGGAAAGCTCTGACTGCCCCCTCTAGGGGGCTGGCACACTCCTACCCTGGAGTTAATCTGTCCATGTGGGGAAGGGCATGAGGGAGTGAGAATAAACCAATGAAAGAAAGGGCACTAGGGCTGGGAATACAACTGCAGACATTCTCTCCCTGAGCGAGACTTTCCCCCATCGCAGGGAGAGAGCTGAAGGCTGAAAAGACTCCTTCCTCCCTGCAATGTTTAAGAGTCTGCCGGGCCTGGAGGTGCACTTCCCCACTAGGCCCCTTTACTGAGATGGTCTCTCTTGTCTCTCCCCCAAATCCCTACTCTGCTGTTTTTGAGGTCCAATTAAAGGCTCACCTCCTCCTTGAAGGAGGGGCTCTAACCCATCAACCCATTAGATCCTGAGATGTGGAAGGGAGCCAAAACCAAGAAAACAATAAACCCAATGACCATGACAACTGGCTAGAAAGCACAATGGACATGGAAACATCCAGCCCTTCTTGGGACCTTAGAGGGAATCAGGGCTCAGGCCACTCAGCTTACAGTCGAGTAACCTTCCCAAAGTCACATACCTAGATAGTGTCAGAACCAGGATTTGAATTCCGGTCTGGTGCCTCTAAGTTCAGCACTCATCACTGCACCACACTGCCTCCCTCAATGCCTGCTGTTGGTGTTCAGTCCTTTCAGTCCTGTCCAACCCTGCGTCACCCCGTTTGGGGGTTTTCCTAGTAATACTGCAGTGGTTTGTGACTTCCTTCTCCAACTCATTTTACAGATGAGGAAACTGAGGCAAACAGGGTGAACTGACTTGTCCAGGGTCACCCAGCTAGTTAAGCGTCTGAGGCTGGTTTTGAACGCACAAAGATGAGTCTTCCTTACTCCAGTCCCAGGGCTCCATCCTAGCTGCCCCTGTTGTGATAATAACACTGTACTTAAGAGTTAGAAAGACCTGGGTTCCAGTGCCAGTTCTAAGGCTTACTAGCTGAGTACTAGTGGTTGAGTTATTTCCATTAGAACATGAACTCTTTGAGTTTAGGGATTGTATCCCCAGCACCCCAAAGGTCCTTAATAAATCCTTGTGGACTGATGGACTTCACCTAGGAATTCTAGTTTTCCTGTCTGCAGACTGGTGACAAGAACCATTTCACTATTTAGTATGGACCATTCATACTGCCATCACGAAAAGGGTCATTTGGGGAAGAAATGTTTTCAAAAACCTTGAATAGAAATGGGAGTCATTAGAAAGACAACTCTTAGTGAGTTTCAGAAGACTTCATTTAGCTGGACCCACTATTGTCTCCTGCCTGGAGGGCCTCTGGTTTTGTTTTTTAATTTGGGTAATAGGTGTTTCATATTGGTAGAAGGTAGCTTGCATGTTGCCTCTAACTTTGGTCAGTTTGGCAGGGTTATTTAGGACAGCCACTTCAGCTAGTTAAACGTGGAATGTGAGGACGAAGACTACCAAAGAAACAGAAAGAAGCAGTGAGGCAAGGGCAGTAGGCATTTCCCGGCCCCAATCGTGGCCCATCTATCTCAAGAAGGACAAATGTCACTAGTGAAAAGTGTCTTCGCTGATGCTGCTGTCCCTTCCTTTCCCATCCTTTGGAGTCCCACTTAAAGGCCATCCCCTCTGCCTGATCTCCATAACTGCAGCATCTTCCTTTCATTTCTGTCCTCTCTAATGCATCTGTCTAGTTCATCTTCCACACTACCAGCACCACCACACTGTAAGGGACACTTCATCTCAATTGTCCTCAAATCTCACATGTCCCTCCCCCAGAGTCTAGTAGGATGTTGGGAAGGGTGGGGAGGCAGAAAAGAACCTGATCTCAGAGTGTCTGAGAGAGCATGCTAGGGAGCTGGAGCTCTGGGCTACAGGAAAGCCACCTAACTTCAGGGCAGCCAAATTTTAAAATAAACCAATTCAAAAACTCCATCCCTTGGTGAGCACTCAGGATGAAAAACGTACCTCCTACTTATACCTTGGGGGGGATGAACCCAGCCTTGGGACCAAGGCCACAGGGAACATGAAGAGCATGGTTTGTCTTGGGGGAATTCCGGTGGAAAGTGGGGAAAATGCATTGATGGAAATTCAACCTTCTTTTCAGGTTCTTACCTAGTGACATCTAAAGACAATCAAAGAAAAACCGGCTCTTTCCGAGAGAAACCCCAAGAACACACTCAGCTCTGTCACTTTCTTATGTGTGGCCTGGAAGCCTCAGTTTCCCTGTCTATAAAATGAGAGGCTTAGAGTAGAGGATCTCAGAGGATCCTTCCAGCCTTCAGTCTAGGATTCTAAGAATTAAAAACATCAAAAGGTGTGGGAGGGCGGGGAGGAGTCCCAAGAGCTTGGAAGAGATTTGCAATCCCCAGACCGTGGAGGAAGCCCCAAACTGACTAGTCCAGGCCGCGTCGGTCAAACTCGGCCATGCAAAGCAGCGGGGCTATATCGTTATTAACAAAGGGGGAGTGGGGTGAGGAAGGGGAAGGGTTCTCAAGCCTAGAGGGCTGCCTAGACCTCTCCGGCAGCCTCAGGTTTCCTCCCCCTAGCATTATTCTGCCCCAAACCCCCCCCCCCACCTCCACCCCCAAGCTGGTCTGCAGGTCGGCAGGAGCAAAGACTAGCAGCTTTAAAGAGCCACAGACCGGAACCAAGGCCCCAGCAGAGAAGCAGGGAGGGGGAGAATAAAGGGGGACAGAGGGAGAGAAGAGAGGGGAATACATGAGGAGGAGAGGGGATAGATGCGGAGGAGGGCGAATAGAACGTAGAGGTGCAGGAGGGAAATGATCGTAGGGCAGGGGACCCCCCCAGAACACACGCTGAGAAAAGGTCGCAGACCCCCAAACACTCAAACAACAGTGTGACTAGATCCCAGCAGGATTTCCGGGGAGATCCCTCCGGATAGAAACAAAAGGTGGCGAGCAGGGTAGCAAAACGCCGCCCCCCTCCCTTCCCTCACCTCTGCGCCAGCCTCCAGGCAGAAGCCTGCACAAACCCCGGCCGCCCGGCTGCCTGCCCGCCTCGCCTCATTAGCAGCACAAAGCCCCAGTCTTCCGGCGGCTCCTTTCATCCCCCGGGGGAGCCCGAGGCTGGACTAGCCCAGGTGCCCAGACGCCGCCATCCCCCCTTCCTCCTCTCAGCTCCCCCAAAGACCCCAGCTCCCCCCCGGGATGCAGGGACGAGACACACACACACACACCACACACACACACACACACACACACACACACACACACACACACACACACACACACACCCCCTGGCCCAGCTCCGCAAGGTCGATCAATCCTGGGGTGGAGGGGTCGGGGTGGCGAGAATGGATGGACACACAGACGGACACAGGGTACAGACGGACATATACACACACTCACCCCTTCCCACCCCCCGGGGCTGCCATCCTAGGAGCACAGTCCTACCTTCCAGCCCCCTTCGCTCGCTCTATCTTCAGTTCTCCTGGGTCACGTCTCTTGGCAGGAGGCCAGCCACAAAATTAGCCCAGGAAACCAAAGCGCCCTTCCTTCCTCTTTATCTCTCACTCAGTTTCCTTCCCTCCTTTTTTCCCCTTCCTTCCCTCCCCGCTTCCTTCCCTCCCCGCTTCCTTCCTTTCTGCCTCCCTTCTTCCTTCCCTCCCTCCATCTTAACTTTTCGTCCTTCCCAACTTTTTCTCCTTCCTTTTTCCCTACCGCCGTCCTTCCTAACTTTCCTCATCCGTCCTTACTTCCTATTTTCCTTCCTCACTTCCCTATCCCTCCCTCCTTCCTTTCTTTCCTCCATCCCTTCTTCCTACCTTTCCACCTCTCTATCTTCCTTCCTCTCTCCCTTTTTCCTTCCCTCCCATCTTCCTTTCTTTCCTCCCTCCCTCTTTTCTTCCCTCCCTCCTCTGTATCTTCCTTCCTCCCTCCCTCCTTTCTTTCCTCCCTTCTCTCCTTCCCTGCTGTCTCCCCGCCCCCTCGGTCCCTGCGGGTCCCCTGTCCCGCTCGCGGACTCACCCTCCAGCCGCAGGTGTCCCCGGGAGGCCCTCTCCTGCCGGGGCCGGCGGCCACTGCCAGCTGGGAGCCGTTCAGGCAGGCGTTCACGGTGAAGAAGAAGGAGCAGAGCTGCAGCCAGGGAGCCATGGTGCACGGGCCGGGGCCGGGGCCGGGGCCGGGGCCAGGGCCAGCAGCCGGGCAGGCAGAACGAGAGCTCGGGCGAGGGCAGCCTCCGCCGCCCGGCGGGACGGGACGGGCCCCCAAGCCGAGCGCTGCGTCTTTGGGACTGCGCTCCGCTGGCCGCTGCCGATGCCGGTGGGTGCCTGTGCCGGAGGCGCGGCTCCTGCTGCTGCTGCTTTCCCCAGTGGCTCCTGCTGCTGCAGCCGCTGAACAACTCTGGCAACCTGGGGCGAGGGCGGAGGCAGAGGGGAGGGAAGAGGAGGATGGAGGAGGATGGAGGAGGAGGAGGGATGAAGAGGAGGGGTCGGAGAAGGAGGAGGAGTCTGAGCGGAGAGCTCAGAGCATGCGCTTCGGGGAGGGGCGGGCCCGCCAACCCGGGGCCCCCGCCAACCTGGACTTTCCAGGACCCTGAGCTGCACCAAGAAGCAAAAGGAGGGGGAGCGAGGGGCGGCACCCTGCCTTCTCCAGCCCTCCGGACGTCCCTGTTTCCCCTCATCTCGTGCTTCCCAAAGTTAGGCTGGTTTGTTTTGCCTGAGAAGCCCGGAATGTGAGCTGGGGGCCGGCGCCCAGTAAACAGCTCGGCGGCTGGATCTTAATAAGGAAGGGATTGAGGCTGCCGGGATGCCCTGGGCTCCATAACCTCCGCCTTGCCTTGGTATGTCATCCTCCTCCTTAGTGGTACCTGGGAAAGAAAACCAGATTTCCTTTAGGGGCAGAAGACCTTCCAGTTCCCAGAAAGAAAATCCTGTCCCATCTCCTACTCTGCCAAGGGATTTTTATCATCCGGGGGAGGACCTACCTGAAGGAGGGGGCGTTGTTAGTGAACCAGAGTTTACCCACCCCCACCCCCACCCCCCGCCCCAGATCCCCAGGTAGCTGACCGTTTGTTCCTTACCTCCAAATAATCACGTTTGTCTTTGTATTGTTGGTACCTATATAGGTACTTCTTGTCCCTTCAAAGATTGGAAGCTGGGGCAGCTAGGTGGCGCAGTGGATAGAGCACCGGCCCTGAAGTCAGGAGGACCTGAGTTCAAATGCGGCCTCAAACCAAACACTTGACACTTACTAGCTGTGTGACCCTGGGCAAGTCACTTAACCCCAATTGCCTAAAAGCAAAAAATAAAAATAATAACAAAGATTGGAAGCTCCCTGAAGGGAGGGACCGTTTGACATCTTTTCTTGTAGTCTCAATACCTGGCAAATAATAGTCATTTAGTAGATGCTTGTGGACTGTCAGGAAATTGAGGTGAGCTCATCCTGGCCATGCCTCTTCAGCTCTGCTCCCTTTCTTGTTAATCTCCTCCCTTTCCCTTCTTTTTGACCCTTGAGTGGTCCCTCTCCTTGTCCCTGCCATTGTCCTAAGCATTAAAAAGTGAAGGTACCAGCCTTCAGCCTCTGCCCTAGTAGAGTTGATACCATACTCTGTATTCTCTTCTACAAAGAGGGTCCGCCACTGGTTTCCTTCAGATTGCCAAACAAACTTTCCATAAGTCTGGAAAATTTCAGGTCTTCGTTGTGATCATTGTGAGCCCTGGAATCAAACATAAATGCCTTCATTCTGGGTTCTCACTGTGCCTTCTCCTAAGGCAGCTTAAAATGACACTAGATTTTGGCTGTCTTTTTTTTGGGGGGGCTACCATAGAAGTTCTGACCTTGTCAGAAGCATTATGGATTCCCCATTATCTATACGATAAATATAAACATACAAACTCAAGACTAATCACACACCACTCCCCTCTGTACCCTCTACTTCCAGCCATACAGCTGACCTGTCCTTTCTGTTAGGATAATGCCCGTCTCACCTCTGTGTCTGTAGTGTCCTTCCTCACTTCCACCTCTGGGAAGTTCTGGCAGTGAGGCAGCGGAGGAGATAGAAGGCTAGTTTTGAAGTCAGAGAACTCTGAGCTTCCATTCTCCCTCAGCACTGATCAGCCACTCTCCTCATCTCCTTACTTTCCTTGGCCATCAATTTCCAATGAATAAATTTTTGTCAGACAGCTCTTAGGTTCAAGAATTGAATCCTATCTTCCTATATGAGTGATCCTTGGCAAATCTTTTTTTTTTCCCTGACCTGGACCTCAGTGCCCTCCTCTGCATAGAGGTAAGATGAGATGTGTCTGTGGTCCCTTCCCACTCTAATTTCTATGATTCTCCCAGATTCCTTCCTAGATTGTGTCTTCTTTGCAAGGGTCAATAGCAGTGAAAGGGAATGAAGAGTGAGGAAGTACAAAAAATAGAGGAGAAAACAACAACAACAAAGAATGGCATTTTAAGCCATTTGCAAACCTTGAAATAGAACCATCTGTTGATATAGACATATGCAGATATACTTTTCAGTCCTTCTAATTTAGTAGACCCCTATTACAACAAAAATTGTCATTCCAAGGATTGAGTTCTAATGTGACTGCAATGATCAATCTGCCCTGACATTAGTAAACCAGAAGGTTCATCTATCTAGATGTATTATGAAGAAAATCTTAATAGAGTCATGCCCTATTCCCTTTCCTGCACCTGTATCAGCTACAAAAGGAGTGGAATATCAGAAGGGATTTTGGCATTGAGGAAAACCAAGTACAATGAGGAACCATGTTCACATACAATGGTAGATGTATTGGGTCTGAAGCCTAGTTTGTATCATTTTGCCAACATAGAGCAATATATAATTTATTAATACATTTAATACCTGGGACAACTCCCTCTTCTGCATGGGACTCCCATAAAAGCTACCCCAGGTCCAAAATACTCTGTGGTCCATATACACTCAAAATCACAACTCATGAACCCCCTTCCCCCAATGTGTTTATTTTTACTAATCACCCAAAGGACAGTTCAAAGCAATGGTATTTAATAAAATAGGATAGGAAGAAAAGCAGCAATAGGAAAAAAAAACTCCTAAAAACCTGGGGCACATTCTTCCACAAACATACACACCTTCACTAAGAAAAGTAGATGCCCGTAGTGACCGCATTTGGCTAGCATATACAAGGAAGGTGAGAAACAAGGGAACGTTTGTGGCTAGGGTACTTTGGGGAGAGTACTCCTGTAGAGAGCATATGTGCCCAGAATCTGTGCAAAACCAGTGCAGCTTCTACTTCTGATGCTGCAAGGCTGCTGATGTCCTCTAGAGATGTCATCCCCTGCAATCTGACCTCTGCTGAGGACATTGTCTCTGTTAGGCCACATTCCTCTGCTTTTATGGTCTCAGTTAGGTATGTACTCATCGGTATTCCCAACCTCTTTCTGCTGCCACCTGTTGGGCTTAGAATCCTCAGCTGAGGTGCTATCTTTTCCTCATAAGAGTAGGCTCTGACATCTCTCTTTTAGCTTAGAGCCTAGACTTGAACACTTTAGCTGGCCCTCACTTACCCAATCATCAGACTAGGTCCACTGCTTTCTTTTTATTTCAAGAAGTATCTATTAGGACTCGAGTTTTATCCTCTTGGGAGAAGATCTTTTGAATCATTGAGTAGGTAGTAGTAGGTAGACTTTCTTTTTAAACCACTTCATCTTGGTAATGAGATCAATGTATCTGTCCCAAAGCTCTGTCTGACTTAGGGTTGGAAAGTTCCCTTTAACTCCTGTTAATTCCTAATCACAAAACGTACATCCTTCTCAAACAATTTCAGGTAGCTGAATTCCAAAACAAATCCAAAGGACTTTATGGGTCTTAGGCACAATGCCTTACCTCAGCCTCACAAGATCCTCTGGTTTATCAGGCAAATGCATCCAAGTAAGAATAGATTGAGAGAAAATACTAAGGTCATTACCCTCCTTGTTCCTGAGCCATATTCCTGCCTTTATCACATATATGTGGCTAGCAAAAAAATCTTCAGGGCTTTGTTCCTCATACTTTAAAAGATGTGTTTTATTTTGCAAAACTATGAAGATAGCTTATTCTCATTTTGCAAGATCTTTCAGCAGCAGACTGACTTAAAATGACCAACACCTATATTGTAATTGATGAGTCTGGCCCCAGCCTCTTTTTCCTGCTTTGTTACCTTCCCTTCTGAAGATGTCCTAATTATTCCTGATAGTAGGGGGACCTATGGGGTGGGACAAGAGAAGGAGATATGGGACAGAGAGAAAAAATGTAAGTAGGTAAATACAGCATTTATCAACTGCTAAGTATATACCAGCTGCTCTTTTAAGTGTTTGGGAATACAAATACAAGCAAAAAGAAAGTCCCTTCCCTCAAAGAGCTCACATTCTAATGCAAGAAGAGAATGGATAAAAGGGAGCTGAAAATAATTGAGGGCTCTAGACGAGAAGGTACCCAGTTAGGGGCATGGTAGAGAAGTCCAGAAAGTCAAAGCCAGAAGTGGAGTCAAGGAGTAAGAATGACTGACCTGGGCACTTCCTCAAAATGGGGGTTCCAGAAAGACGTTTGTTCTTCATTCTCGAAGAGGACCATGACATCAGGGAGGTGATGTCATGACTGGCAAGTGAATTGGATTTAAGTGAGGGAGAGTTGTGCAAGGTCACCAGCCTCACTTTCTCCTCCAGAGTCATCTGGTCCAGTGGAAACATATAGATCAGGGTGACTGCACTGAGAGGCTGTGGCCTTTTTAAGCTAAGGTCTTTCCCTGGTCTCAGAAAGAATTCCCCAGAGGAAGGAGAGAGCTGAAGGAGTAAGGGGATCAGAAGCAGGTTTCTGAGGAATGATGAAGTGTGGGCAATCAGAAACAGAGCCAGGCTACACAAGACATTTTATTTTGAAACTAATAGTAAGATAACAAGAAATGGGAAAAGTCAGATATAATGATCTTGATTATTCACATTTCTGTAGGAGTTTAACTGATAAAAAATGAGGATCCCAATAACCACTTTAGTCAGCAAACATTTGATCTCCTTCCAAATAGACAAAGATGACTGTCAAGAATAACACCAGTTTAGAAACAAAGTTAGCTTCTAAAACACTCCAAGAAAGGATTATGAGCAAGATCATAAAATATTAAAAATCAGAAGAGATCAAGTCTATAGTTGGCATGAGCACCAAAAGACACGCCATTCCAAGAACATTCATGGATGATACTAGCAGGAAGACAGAATAAAGACATAAAAGGGAAGAAAGCTGTCAGCATTTCTCTGCCTGGTTTCTGTTTTCATTATCAGCGGCAGAGGAATGCACCATGTTTGAACCCTCCAAACTTAGCTCCGCTGTTTCTCAGATGACAGATACCACACAGTCCATCGCTGGGTTCATCCATGAAGACTTT